AAAAAAAAAAAAAAAAAAAAAAAAAAAAAAAAAAAAAAAAAAGGTTTGTTCTCGACTGTGTTTTTTTCCCCTAACTACGTACATTATGGTTGTGCTTTGCTGCAGACAGCTCCATATCGCGATACTGGTACTTCTATACTGAAGGGCAGTCCAGTTGAAGATGCACAAATGCTGCTGGATGACCATATCGTGAAGGTCCAGACTATGTCAGCGTCACCATATGCTACACCATTTATGGACCGAATCGTTGCCTGGGAGAAAACGGTGAATAATCTTTATCTTTCCCTTCTCAACCTGAAGCTTCCTCCTCCCATCAACTATACCTGCTTTGTGTCATAAGGGGGTAAAAAATGGGTGAACTCTCGAACAGCATTCACATCGGCAGCAAAGTGCTCTGCCTAGGGGAGGCTGCTCATATCACCCCACCTAGCATCCTCAGCTGGCGTTAATGAAAAAAAAAGCAGCATGCACATCAGCACACTGTAGTCATGTAACTGACAAATAGAGTAGTTGAGCAAAAGCTGAATGAATACAGTGAGCTTTCAACGAAGCAGCAGCGAGGTGCAAATGAAACAAGATGACAGAACTGGCACTCAGGAGGCGGAACAGCTCCCCGCATATCCCTCGGGGGCAGAGGACTCCCAAACTTCGCCCTCCTACTCTTTAAAGAACACCCGCCGACTTTTTTCATCGGGGAAATCGCTGAAGGCAAGGAGACGAACAACATCCTGGCACGTCCGCAAACAACCCACTAAAAAAAAAAGTCCGGAGCGAAGGAGCATTGACTGTTTTGTTGAAGTTGTTCTGCTTCACCATATGTAGGGACAATTATTTTCACCAGTTGCATCCGGTGCACCTATGAACGATGAAGTCCAAAGTAACTTTGTGTCGATGTACAGTAGTGCACACATATAACAGAGCACAGCCAAGAATGCATTTTGTAAATAATTTGTAGTAATTTTGTACAAAAAAAAGGAAATTTAAAGAAAGAATGCACTGTGGATGAGTCATAGAAGCACACACTCAGTTGCCCGAGCAGGGCCAATGGATTGCATGCACTCACAAGATGTGCACCCTTTCTGTGGATTGCACAAAATCATGCAATTGGGATCCTCTCTTCTTCTTCTCTTCTTCTTCCTCCCTCCCCCCCCCCCCCCCTCTCCCTCTTCCCTGTATAATCCCTTCTTTTCTCTCCCTTTTTCTCTCTCTCTCTACCTCCCTTTCTTCCTGTTCTTCTTCGTGTGCCTCCTCCTTTTTCTTTCTTTCTTTTCCCCCCCCCCCCCCCCCCCCCCAACCAAAAGAAAATAAAAGAGTAGGGGACACAGGACGGCAGCACACTACAGAGACACAAGAGAGCCCTGTCACAGTGGCCAACACAATTGCTCTGCTGCAGAAGAGGCAACTCCCCTCCCCCTTGAGCCAGGGCCACACCACGCAGAGACAGGTGGCTGGGGGCCAACAGTGCCCTGCCATAAACACCGAGCCACTGCTCAGAAGCAGTCCGGTGGACCCAACCCCCTCCTGCTCCACGGACACAGGTTGGGGACGGAGGACGACAGTACACTGCAGCGACACAAGAGACTCCTGCCACAGTGACCAACACAATTGCTCTGCTGCAGAAACGACAACTCCCCTCCCCCCTGATCTACGACCACACCATGCAGAGACAGGAGGACAGGGAGTCTCTGCAACAGGTCTCTGGGCTGAGGACTGTAAACCCCGACCACCAGCCAAGTATCGGAGTCAATGCAGAATTTCAGGTACGCACAGGGAAAGGGCTTGATATAATCAAAGATATGGACTGCAATTAGATCCCACCCCCGTATTAGCAAGGTGCCTATCCGGAACATACCTCAACACCTTATACCGGTAACAGCGCCATCCTAGCGGCCATTTGGTACAAATTGGCTGTATGGCCACTAAACAAGCAACAACATGCTAGGCTAAAGCGAGCGCTAACAATGTACCTGTGGAAAAACAGCACCCAGACCCAAGGCTGCATTAATCGGGTCAAGTGGGACGTGCTCACACAACCCAGAGCCAAAGGCGGACTGGGGATCCTGGACCCCGAAAGACAGAGCGATGCCCTTATTTTCAAAGTCCTCATCAGGCTGCGCATTGGGAATGACATTCCCTGGGAACCCTTGGCTCGCCAGATAGCTATCTGGCCCCGGGGGCAGAACATACCGAAAAATACACCCGTTCCAATGGTTGACTAACAACCACTGGACCATACCATCACCCCCAAAACATGGGCAGACTGCTGACCCTGCGCAAGCGGCAAAGGTAGATATAACATTGGATCCGCTCTGGCCCTACATGCTCGAGTTGTGGAGAGAACGTTGACCGCGGCAAAAAGTGTCACCCAACAGGTGGCATGATATATGGAGGCAACCCCTCTTTGGCAACCCGAATATCCTCCAAGAAACGGGTGTCCCTTTGCGCTAACAACGAACTCACCCTGGCTCATCTGGCCAAGAAAAGTATCTACACGGTTGGGGACCTGTGGGACCCAGTGAGAGGGGAATGGGCAACCCCTCACCAGCTGCAAGAGAGGCTCAAATATGTAAAGAATGTGGAAGATAAGGCTGACCGGTTGAGAGAGGCTCTCCCCCTGGCTTGGCAGCGCACACTCAAGGACGGGCCCACTGTCCTGCAAGATGACTGGGTAGTTAAATTCCCTGATCTGCCCCTCCCCCTGACCATCTATAGGGTCAAGGCCAGGGAAAACAACAGTGGGCCCTGTGAACTGGAAGCATACGAACCCCAATCACCCACAGCCAGACTATCAAAGCTAACAAGGAAGGAGGATCTGGATACAACATATGCGTGGGCAGGGCTGATGCAGGTCAGAGTGGTGGGGGACCCCGAGAATGATTTCTATGTATACGAAAGCATCACGTCGGTGGCTAAGCTCCCATTTGACTCGGCCAAATGGGAATGGCCAGGATCTCAACCTATGCACAGATGGGATTATGCAGTCAAAGGGGGGTACAGGGCGTCTCATCGGGACCAACAAATCAACCACATAATAGCAAACAGATGGGCACGGGAGTCGCCACTGGAGCCCAAGCTCTCATAATCCTTTACCTGGTCCAAATATGAGAAAATTATGCCCATGAATCAGAGGTCTCTGCAATGGCAGATCCTCCACCACTGCCTCCCTACGCCCGACTGGATTGTGTCGAGAACCGACCTTGAACAGAAAGGGAAGTTGTCACCCATCTGTGCCTATTGTGGCAGATCCCGACAGCCAGCCTGTGCAACCCTTTAACACCGCCTGTTGGCGTGTCCTATGGTTACTCAGTTATGGCAATGGTGGGACGCGGCCTTCCACTCCCTCGCTGGTCACCATATTCCGTGGGATCTTGGGCTCCTATTACTGGGAGAACAGCGACAACTGTTAGCCCACCGGTCCCCCTTTCCAACCAATTTTTTTTCCTACACAAGGCTGCACCTCCTCATGCTTGCCTGGAGAGCCAGATGCTCCTTTGAAAGGAAGGACCACCAATTTTGACTGCAGCAGGCACAACAAGCCATCGTGGAAGGTATCAGGGTCACGACCCAGCAAGCCTGGAAGTCCATGAAGCGACAATACTTCGAAGAGAAAGACCCCCTTGCCAGACAAGCGATCCGCGACTCCTACATGCAAATATGGCAGGACCCGAAAGGATTGTTTTCGGTCCTGGACACTGATCTGAACCGCTCGTATGGAAACCATGGAGGTCTACGAAACCTACCTGGCAGAGGAAACCATTCGCTGATTTCCAGGTCCCCTACCTCCAACCTAACTTTGTCCTCCTCCCAAGCCTCCCAAGCCAACTACCACACCCCTCACCACTGCCATATCCCCCACCACACCTGGTGCAACCAGCCCAGCCACCACTGCCCCCCCACCCCCCCGCTGCCCTGCCGCCACTGCCACCTCTCTCCGTCCATGCTCCCTCCCTTCCCGCTGCTTCTCCACCACCTCCCCCCGCTCATTTCCTTCTGACCGCTCAGCTGGCTGGCAACAACACGAGAGACAAATAAAGGTTAGACTGTCAGACAACAACAACAGTAATGGCACAAGGATCGGAGCAACAACCGTCATCTCACTGTTGCATGCCCTGCAGCGGGAACCATGAACACCGACGCATTCAAGGGAGCAGGGCCCTCAGACCACGAATGAAGTCCAGAGAAGCGATACTGCGATCAGGCAGGGTAGTATGACATAACGGTTTGAGAGCTTAAGGTGCACGGAGTTGTCGCTCCTCTCTTCAAGACGCAGGACTACATTACACTCCGAAAGCGGCATCGCATTGGATTGCATTCCACCTCCTGCTGATCCTCTGGTTACTAGGATCACGAATGTGTTTTACATAGGCCTTGAGAGGGGAAAGGGTTTAAAGGGCGTCAAGGGTTTAAAGGAACAGACATAGCAATAGCGAATAGGGGGGCTGCTGAATAGGGCAGGGCTAATAGAAAAGGGGTGCTCCAAGATGGGATGGGTGATACTGGCAGCTCCATGGGATAACAGAGCCCCAGAATGCGGCAGAAATGGCCATAGCCCTAGGAAACAACAAACAAACAAACATAGCAATAGCGAATAAGGGGGCTGCTGAATAGGGCAGGGCTAATAGAAAAGGGGTACTCCAAGATGGGATGGGTGATAATGGTAGCTCCATGGGATAGCGGAGCCTCCGGATGCGACAGAAATGACCACAGCCCTAGGAAACAACAAACAACACTCTCTGAGTTACAAGATGTATCAATGGGACATTCTCTGTGCTATAAGATGTATCAATGGGACATTCTCTGTGCTATAAGATGTATCAATGGGACGTTGGACCCGGTTTCCAGCAAGTGTCGCTCCCTAAGAATAGATGGAGCAGCCCGACAGATAAGCCCTCAATTCGGACAGTTCTCTTACCACCGCTGGAATCGAGGGCTTA